AGTAACATTCCACAAATTTCTTGTATCTTAAAATCTTTTTAATGTCTAAAATAATGCTGGATTGAATTCGAGAAGATTCCAATGCCTGGAGGACAGATTTAGAGTCTGTATAAATTCTAATCTTTTCATCATCCCGTGTTTTCTGTAAAGCATTCAAAATTGCGAATACATCGGTAAGAGAAACTGAAGCCTCATCATTTAGTCAAATTTCACTTTGCCATAAGATATTATCTTTCTGGTCTAAACAGACCACTCCACTACCCACTTTATCATCAAGCCCTGACCCATCTGTAAAAATATTTTTAAAATCCTTTAACGGTATTTCACATACCTTCCAAGAAAAGGGAGAAAAGTCCCAACGTGGAAGTTCAAATGGGTTGACTTGGTCAAAATCACAAGATGAATATTCTCTTGAGCCAATTTTAATTTTAGAATCTTTATTAAGAATTTTGAATTTCAAAAGTTCTCTTTCAGCAGGAAGGTCCAGTGGTTCACAGGCGGTCAAGATCTGAAGCGCTTCAGTAGAAGCTGTGCTATATGTTTTGGCTATTTGTAAAAGCGCAGTTCTTTGAATTTGTAGAAGTTTCCTGTTACTTCTTGCGGTACTGTCGTATCAATCTTCTGCACCATAAAGGATTAGTTTCTCAATAGCCATTTTATAGATTTCCTTAATAACTTCGGGACCAGGGCCCCCATGTTGCTCTAGATAGTCGATTGAGCTTGCTCTGCAAGTTGAGAACTTTTAGTTTGATTTCTTCGAAATGTGAAAGCCATTTGAGTCTGGTGTCAAAAGATACACCCAGATATTTCAATGTTTTAACATATTTAATAGATTGTCCCTTGATTTTCAATATAGGGATGTGTGCAATATCCCCTTTTAATGGAAAAACAATAAACTTAGACTTGGAAGGATTGATGGCCAAACCAAAACCATCAGCCCAAATCTCGATGACCTTGATAGGAATTTCTAAATTATGAGTGAATTTGTATAACGCAGTCTCAGTTGACATAAATAAGATGTCGTCTGCAAACATAGTGCAGTGCAGATCCAAGAAATTTTCATTGAGGGCCTCAAGCCTTCTGAGGAGCCTGTCAGCAATGACGAGCCAAAGCACAGGCCCAAGAGAGGAGAAAGAATCCCTTCTAAAAGAATCCCTTTCGGTCTTCAGAATCAATCTTGTATATTTTGCCAATCCATGTTTGTATATAGTTTGTCTTTTGCTTCGAAGATCTGGATCTCTAGTAGATTGGAATCTTCTTCTAAATGCACGTGTTTTACTTCTCTGAATTTCTAATTCTATATTCCACCAGATTGCATCTCTCTGTACCTTATTTTTAACTCTTCTCTTTGTTTTCGAACAAATCCTTATCAGTCCATTTTGGATATAATCTATACTCTTTTCAAAATCAATATTATGTTCTCTGCATTTATGAAGAAAATTATTTAAATAAATTTTGAAATCTAGAAACTCAAACTTATCTAAGGACCATTTTGTTGTTTTAATATTTTTATTCATTATATCATATGTTAAAGAGAAATCCATGATTTGTTGATGACTAAACATGATCCGATTTTCAATTGTCCAATTTAGAATTCTATCAAAATCAAAATTTTTGAGCATCATAAGATCAATACAGCTTTTGGCTAAAGGTCCTACAAAGGTCGGTAAAGAGCTGCTGTCATTGACAACAGTCAAATCAAATTGATTGATAAGTTGTATTAAAATGTCACGTTTTTTGTCGGATTTAGTCGGTTCCCAAATCGGAGATTTTGCATTAAAGTCTCCAAGAATAACTGTTTTAAAATCTTGATTCTGCAGGAAAATAGGAATCAAGTTATCCATATCATCACTAAAATTATGAGAGGGAGGACAGTACATGGAGATAAAAAGCCAATTTTCATTATTAATTGAGATTTTTAAAACTACAAGTTTTTTTTAGGAAGTACCGAGAGATCGAGATTAACCATTATGAAGCCTGCTAATGGTTTATAAGAATTGAAGTATTCCCGAAAAGAAGAAGGGAAATTTATAACTCCCAGCTATAAGGATCGTTGACTGAGCAACAAGCAAAACCCAAACGAATAAAATCTTCAGAAAGTTGTATATTAGCGCGACGACAATTATTTAAATTAATATGACCCCCACGTAAAATGCAAGAATGAAAATTACTGGCCGTGGTTGGTTCTGGAGATCAAAAGCTCAATTTCATTTTCTCTGATTTTACAAGCATTTGAACGAGCAGAATTATGCGTTTTATGCGTCGATTTAAATTTGGCATTGTGTAATGAACAATTAATGCAATTTGGCGCATATCGACATTCGTTCTCTTTATGCCCTTTAATGCTACAACGAAGGCAGACACCACCTCCGTCTTTATATTCGTCATTCTTACATTTGTCTGCCGTATGACCGTATCTGGCACACTTGAAACACTGAAGAATTCTAAAATTTTCTTTAAAATATAGCCTACTCCAGTTCAGATTGATCTTTGGTTTTTTAATTATTAAATTGAATGCCTCTGGATTCATAGATACGATCCAGTTTTTCAAAAACCCTGTAAGATGTTCTGACTATCAAATTGGCCTCTGCAAGTTCCTTGTTCTGGGATTTAAGTCTCTCAATAAAATCCTCATTAGACAGATCCTCATTGACATTAAAAATAATTATGCTAGGGTCTTTTAGCCTAGGTTTGATGATCTCGAATTTCTCCCTAATCTCATCTATGTGTTGAAATTCCAAAATCAGTTTATCAATATCCTCAGATGAAGGCGAATTTATGATATTTCCCCCTTTTCCAATGTTTTTGACATTGTTAACTTTGACATTAATCCGATATGGAATGATTTTGGACTGTATTTTTCTCTTTGTCTGTTCGGAAGAAGTCCCTTATTCCTTAGGATATATCATCACATTATGCACTTTACGCTGTCTAGATCTTGCTCTACTTCTATCCTTGGGAGGGGATTCAATTGGAGTAGAGACCATCTCTGCAAAAGTGGGAATCTTCTATCTTGTTTCATTTGATATGCGGCCCATCAGATGGCCGATCATGACTTGTTGCTGGACGAGTTTTTTCATTATTTCTTTCAACGGTTCTCTTATTTCGGCCTGTTTAGAGCCAGTTGCTTTCAAAGAAGCAATAGCTGATTGGATTTCCATCTCTAACCCCATAGCTTTTTCCAACAAACCCTGAACTTCAGGGGTCTCACTCTCGAATGGATCATTGCGGTCATTGACATTAGAAGCACTCAGGGTATCATTGTGCTTAAAATTTATAGACAAAGATTTCTCTGATTCCGGTGGTTGATCAGACTCTATCAACTTAGCTTGAACTTCTTTATCATCCATAATCACAATCTATATGAGAGAATCTTGATCAAGTAACGATCTCAAAAAATCGTCACCGATGTATCCGGCGATGTTCGTGTTGTGGTTGGAACTAACTCCAATTTGAGATTTTTAACAATTAACAAAATTAATTGGTTGCCCAAGTGTTGCTAATATAAAATTCGATTTTGTAAAACAAAATTTGCATAAATCTTGAATATTTAATAATCAAACAAACCTCAAAACGAAGAGTTTAAAAAGTTGAAAACCTGCTGCCGTGTTGACCCAGATTCTTTTCTTCGATAGCCTCCAAAATATAATATATAATCAAAACAAATAAGTTCAACCAAGCAAGTAATTCTTGAATGAGAGCAGCTAAAGAAAGTTTTGCACAAATCGTGCCAATTCACTATATTATAATATGGTTAAGGTATCCGACTATGTTCGGAAACTTTTTGAAAAATAACTTATATATATATATTTTTAATGTTATTTTTCAGCTGCATATGTTTTAAAACTAAGAAAATATTGTAAAATTAGGCTTTCAAAATAATATTTTTTAAAAAAAACTGAGAAATTTGAAGAAAAATGACTAAAATATTTGCCTTACGCTAACAGCCATAGACAAAATCATATTCTAAATATACACAAATCCTTGTAGGAGTACATTTTTATGACAGTTATCTGTGTTGTGCTCTAAAACATTTCTTGTACTTCAAAATAGTTTTGAGATATATCTGAACATAGTTACCAAACTGGTGATTTTTCATAAAAAATGATTTTCGTTTATATTAAGCACTTAAAAATAATACTTGATTTTACAATTGACCTTAGTTTTTAGAGGAAAATATCAAGCATATTACAGAAAACAATCTCAGAAAATTTCATATCAATACTTGAGTAACATTTTGAGAAATCATTGTTACGATCGACAGTTTTTCTCAAAAATTTCCTTTCTCAGAAAACACATTTAAAGTTTTCATGCAACATATAATGCTTACAGTTCGGTAATAAAACAGCTGTAACTCCATTTGTAATTCACGTAGAGTAAAACGCGAGACAGTTTTAGAAAGCTGGTTAAACAGACTACAAAATTAAGTCATAAAAAGTTTTTTGATAATTTCATCAAAAATGACGATTTTAAACCAGTCGGATACCTTAAAACAATCAATCAGATTCACCTGAACCAACCAAAGCAAAAAGAACTCAAATATCGAACCTTTCAACTTAAAGAGAACGATATAAAAAGTCAGTTCATTGCTGTGACATGCGCTCATACAAAAATGAAACCAAGATAGACGACCACAAGGTGGGCGTTAACTCAAAGCAAAAGTATGAAGATTCACAAAATCAAAACCAAGCAATAGTTTATCAAAATTCTTTTACCGGAATGAAGTTCGATTGATCCAAAATACACCACATCAATATTCAATGACTGCTGGTAGTAGAAAACATAATAAATCACACGAATTTTTGACGAGCTCTAGAAAAACACAACACACACCGTGACAGCTAAAAGCGTTCCTCGGCTTAGTTGGTTAAAGCGTCTGTCTAGTAAACAGGAGATCGTGAGTTCGAATCTCGCCGGTTCCTATGGTGATTCACTAATATATTTTCAACACATATATAAGGCATATCGTAATATTGTTTATCATAAGTTCTTCCAATATAGGCGTCGTGGCTTAGTTGGTTAAAGCATCTGTCTAGTAAACAGGAGATCGTGTTTTCGAATCTCTCCGGTGTTTATTGCGTTTAACTTTTTATTTTCCCAAGACATAATATAAGGCGTATCGCAATACTATTTATCACAAGTGCTTCGAACAGAGGCGCCGTGGCCTAGTTGGTTAAGGCTACACAGTACCCTAAAAATGGCAAAAATATCGAAAATTTTTTTTTGCAATTTTCGATGGCCCATACGATTGGGAAACTTGACTCCAAATTTTAGATCTCATATCCAAATAGATTTGAAGATTTTGAAGTTTTCTTAATGTTGTCAGTCTCAAAATTTGACAGAGTGGTTAGTTTCGTTTTCATTTTCCTATTCTTAAAATAAATCAATTCCTTGGGTGAAATGGTTATCATAACTTCACTGTTCACTACCCAAATCGTTTCTGTTTGTTTATATTCGGCGTTCTTATTGAGTTCTAATTACTTCCTAACTGATATTTATAAAAACGACTTTTTCAAGACCAATATTAATTTTTACACAAAGTTTATTTTATTTAGAAGCTTTTAAACACAATGTCATTGTTTTTTATTCATTTTTCTGTTGAGAAATTGCCACTACCGAAAAGTTATCGACTTGTTAAGGGACAAAATATTTTGAAGAGCTGCCAGATTAATGACATAATATTTCAAATAAGAAAAAATATATTCAATCATATTGAGCTAAAATATTGTTTTAGTGCATTTTATAAGTTGAGAAATAACATAATAAAAAATTAGAGCTCTACAAGCATTATTAGTGTTTGTTTCATGCCTTTACAAACTTTAAATGCATTTTTCTCTGACTTTTATTTTTGGCGTTGCAAGTGCTTTCTATTCCCTAAGGCTTTTTTTTTCTGTTCCAGATAGTCATGAAATTTTTTGTAGAAACTTTCATATAAACGTTCTATAAGAATTAGCATGGATTTAGACCTGAGAGTTCTAGTTATTTCTTTAAAAAAGTTCAAATTTGATATTTTTCGAATTTTCATGTTTTCTCAGGTTTTTTTCACAAAAACTAACTATCAAAAATTAAAAAAGAGTCAGATCATCAATCCCATGCTCACTTTTGTTCCCAAGAATACAAGAAATATAATTCACTTGAAATAACTAAAAATATTAAAAATTAAGAATTTTATAAGAGTTTAAAAACACATTAAAAATTTCAGTTTTTTCTAAATGTTAAAATGATGCTAAAATGAAGTTTTTAAGTCAGTATCTATTTATTAATATAAACTAAAAATAAAGCCAATTACTATTTTATTATCACTGTCTCCAAAAGAAAGTTTTGAAAAAGGGTACTGTATAGCCTTAAAGCGCCTGTCTAATAATCCGTAGATCGTGAGTTCGCATCTCGCCGGTGCCTCCGGTCTTTCACTTATATAATTTAAGGCATATCGCAATATTATTTATCATAAGTTTTTCCAATACAGTAGACGTGGTTTAGTTTGTTATAGCGCCTTCTAGTAAACATGAAATTCCGAGTTCGAATCTCGCCGGTGCCAATGGCGTTTCACATTTTATTTCCCCCAAAGACATATATAAGTCGTATCGCAATATTATTTATCATAAGTGCGTCAGACAGAGGCGCCTTGGTCTAGTTGGTTAAAGCGCTGTCTAGTAAACAAGAGATCGTGTGTTTGTATCTCCGGTACCTATGGTGTTTCACTTTTTATTCCCCCCCCCCAAGACAGATATAAGGCGTATAGCAATCTTATTTATTATAAGCGCTTCGGACAGAGGCGCCGTGGCCTAGTTGGTTAAAGTGCCTGTCTAGCAAACAGGAGATCCTGAGTTAGACTCTCGCCGGTGCCTATGGCGTTTCTTTTATGCATTTTCAAGGCGTATCGCAAAATTATTTACCATAAGTTCCTCCATTATAGCAGACGTGGCTTAGTTCGTTAAAGCGCCAGTATCGTATAAACAGCAGATCGTGAGTTCGAATCTCCGCGGTGCCTTTGGTGTTTCACTTATATATTTTCAACACATATATAAGGTATATCGCAATATTATTTATCATAAGTTTTTCCAATATCGACGCTGTGGCTTAGTTGGTTAAATGGCCTGTCTTGTAAACAGGAGATCGTGTGTTCGAATCTCGCCGATACCTATAGTGATTCACTTTTCGTTTTCCCAAGACATGTATAAGGCGTATCGCAATATTATTTATCACAAGTGCTTCGGACAGAGGCGCCGTGCCTTAGTTGGTTAAAGCGCGTATCTAGTAAACAGGAGATCGTGAGTTCGAATCTCGCCTGTGCTTTTGGCGTTTCACTTGTATATTTTCCACACATATATAAGTCTATATCGCAATATTATTAATCATAAGTTCTTCCAATATAGCCGCCGTGGCTTATTTGGTTACAATAAATGGAGTACCGTCCCGCCAAAGCTAACGGCAAAACTGAAGACCGATTGAGCGATAAACTGCTCCGCCAAGGGAACACGTCTGGCAGTGAGAAGCCACCTCCTTCCACATCGCAACTACCGAGGCTCTGATTCTCAACCTTTCCTTGAAAGGGTGCAAATTTATGCTATAGAGACTAATACTTATAAGTATAATGGCACAAGAACGCGAATTTAAACCAAATCAATGAATATCGCAGCTCGTAGAGCAATTACCACACTACTACCATCAGGACCCTCCTCCTACCAGCATACATAGAAATATAATAAGATGTATAATAAAATATATCCAGAAAATTCAAAGAAACAGGAGGGAGTAGCAAATTCTGACTAGTAAACAATAACCAAGAGCAGATTTTGTGAAATGTAACTAAAAAGCGTCGCCGATGTTTGCAGCGATGTTCCTATTATTGCCAGGACTAACTCCTAAATCAAATTTACCAATAATTAAAATAATTAATTTGTTGACTCTATGATACTTTTAGGATAAAACACTAATAAACCACTAAATTTTTCACGAATTTTTAAATTCCAAGCTCTACAGATCAAAATATAGAATTTGTCCTCCCCACCTCTCCTTTCAAAATCCAATAATACAATTCATTGAGAAAGTATTAAAATCTTATAAACATTAAAATTTTCAAAATAAGATGGAAACAAGTACCTGTTACAGAAAACCAATAGACAAAAATTTACAAAGTCAATAATTAACAATGAAATTTAAGACACTCAGTTGCAAAAACTTATAAAACAATTAACCACGTATTGTTTAAATCGCCTGTCTTGTAAACAGGAGATAGTGTGTTCGAATCTCGCCGATACCTATGGTGATTAATTTTTTGTTTTCCCAAGACATATATAAGGCGTGAATCGCAATATTATTTATGACAAGTGCTTCGGACAGAGGCGCCGTGCCTTAGTTGATTAAAGCACCTGTCCAAGGCAAAAATACAGGAGGTACTGAATCATTTGCTTAAGACCGTATTGAGCCTTGGGTCTCGCCATCAGTTCCAGAAGTCCCAATTGATGGTAATTTTTGGGAAAATATTTCTGTCTAATGGAGTGGAAAATTGGACAACCAAACAGATAATGAGTAATTGTTCCAATGTCCAGACCGCATTGGCATTGATCACTTTTCCCAAAATATTTATTTTGGTGGATGGGGAACACCATATGTCCCGTCAGAAATTGATTCAGAAAGAAATCTCCATAACAGCGGCCCAAGGAAACCTAAGGAAAAATTCCAAAAGTGTATCTTGCTTTGCCAGAATTTTCCCATCCATATTGCCAGCATCTGAGGATATGTTTTTGTAAATTATTCTTGAGCCATTTCTTTGAAAATTTAATATTTGTATCAATATAGCCTTTCTTTGTGGCTTCTTTTGCAAGAGAGTCCGCTGCCTCGTTGCCCTTGATACCAATGTGTGCTTTGATCCAACAAACCTTAATATTAGTTAGATCCCTTAGAATGCTCTTGATTTCTTCAATGATTGAAATTTGGTCCTTGCTCGATTCTAGAGCCAACAAGACTGATCGAAAATCGGAGAGGATTTAGACCTCGTGATCAAGGTGGGAAATCTTTTTAATGGCAGACAAAATGGCAAAAGCCTCTGCAATAAAAACACTAGTATTGACACTAAATCTGAGGGATAATGACCACATTTCCTGTTCTAATTCATTATAGCAGATGACTCCACATCCCACACGATCGTTAAACTTGGAGCCATCTGTAAAAATCCTAGAAGCTTTTTTCTTGGGATCCATATACATTAGCTATGGGATAGTTATTACTTCGCATGGTGGCCTGGGCTCACTTAAAGGAATATCAAAATGGGTTATATGCAAAGTCAAATCATTGAAGGTTACGTGTTTATTTCTGTGAAGCAAGTCATATTTCAAACACTTGGTCTGAGCAACTATATCCAATGGGCGGCAACCAGTTAAAATGTTCAGTGCCTCGGAAGAAACTATTCTATAATTCTTGGCAATAAGATGAAGAGGAATTCTCTGAATCTGGTTTATCTTTGAGTTTAGTTTAACTAAATCCGAGTACCAGATCTCGGATTTGAATAATATAAAGCTCCGAGTTATCTTGAGATGAATTTCCTTCAAAATTGAAGGTCTAACACCCCACGTAGCACAATTGGTTAAAGTTAGTTGGTTAAAACGCCTGTCTAGTAAACAGGAGACCGTGAGTTCGAATCTCGCCGGTGCCAATGGCCTTTCACTCATATAATTTAAAGTACATCGAAATATTATTTATCAAAAGTTTTTCCATTATAGGGGCCGTGGCCTAGTCTGTTAAATCTCCTGGAGATCGTGAGTTCGAATTTCACCGGTGCCTTTGGAATTTCAATAATATATTTTCAACATATATATAAGGCATATCGAAATATCATTTATCGTAAGTTCTTTGAATATAGGAGCCGTGGCTGAGTTGGATAAAGCGTCTGTGTAGTAAACAGGAGATCGTTTGTTCGAATCTCGCCGGTGCCTATGGCGATTCACATATAAATTTTCTAGACATATATAAGGCACATCGTATTATTATTCATTATAATTGCCCCCACCATCTTGACAGCATCGAATGTGGTTGTGTTTCTCGGAGCTCCCACAGAACTTTTTTTAAAACGCCTTATTCTATCTTTTTTAACTCAAATCTTTTTCAAATGTTGTGTATCATGTTTTTATTGGTACTGGAGTATTTGTAGACGTTTCTACCTGATATTTCGGAAGATTCTAGCACTTGGATACTACCGCAGTGCCGGTGTGCACTCGCGGATTTCTCAAGTCTCTAGGAGTCCATCTACACGTATTGCGAAGGTGAATCCTCTGTTTTAGTGTATCGGAACTTCCTGTCTTTGCTTTTATCTACTTGGATCTGCTTTTTGTGTCAATTTAACATCAAAACAAGCCCGAAAACTTATTGCAGAAGCCATTCCTGCAGCTGAAGACATTCCTCCCCGTTTTCATCTTGGAAATACTGGAAAACGCCCACTATCCTATCTCCGCATATTTACGGATCCTACATAGTACGGAATAAGGTCGCCTCTCATTGGCTCTCAGCGTCACGTGACTTGACTTCTAAATGGCGTCATGAAACTAAACGGTACTTACTAATACTGAAGGTTCGTTCTTTATTTATTTCATTCTAAAAATGTATTCATCATTCTCTTGAGATGCATCCTATTAATCATAATTAGAAGGTAGTTTTGATTTTTCCATGATGCAATAGCAGAAGACAAAATAATAATTAAGATCCCGCCGAAGCGCAGTGCCATGACATCATTTAGAACCAAGCCATATTACGTGACGCTGAGAGCCAATAAACAGCGACCTCATTCCCCCCTATGTAAGATCCCTAAATATGCCCTGTCTCCTTCTTCACCCGCAGTTGCCAGGTTTCCCCATGTGTTAACTCTCCGGTCAAACAACAGCTTTTCTTTTGCGTGATCGTCGGCAACATCGTTGACAACTTTTCTGTGACTTTCGTCGGCAACTTTTGTGTGTTGTCCTGGAGTGTGTCATCTATTTACGTGCTCTATAAGTGACTTTTACTGACTTTTCTTATGGGATACAGCGCGAGTTCTGATTTCTGTGACTTTTTAGCGTTTTTACTAGAGCGTGAAAATTTTGCTTGTTTGTCAAGATTTTATTGGAATTTTAACGTATTTTTATTTGTATTGTCTTTTTAATATCGGTTCTTAATAATAAGATCTCTTTTAACGATATGTCTTGTGTCTTTCATGTTTTTTGAGTGCCTGCTGGGTGCATATTTTGACAACTCTTGACATTTTATGGTAATATTTTACTCTTGATTTAGATCCAATTCTTGCTATTTTTATCATGGGCCCTAAGAAAGGCGCTACTAAATCTGACAAGGATAAGGGTGGCAAGGAAGGGAACTGTGACAAAATGATCGGTTCGGCTTCAGGGGCAAATGCCAAGGAATTCCTTAATGAGTTGCAGTTCCTTTTGGATAGAATTGACCCCAATGACTACGTTGACGGTATTGATGATATGATAAAGAAAAAACTGCTCGATTTGAATGTATACTCTAATGATCTTATTAAAAATAGATCAACTTATGGTAAACCCCTAAGAAACGAATTAACAACAGATTACTTAGTTTTCCTTCTCGGCATCATCAAGGATTTATGTACCAGGGTTAATGAACTAAACTCCTCTATCTTTGATCTGAAGAAAAACCTGGATGAAAGTGAATCGGTCCATTCTAAAGCAAAGATTTGGACCACTGGGAGAGAGAATATCTCTCTCGGGGCCAAATTGGAAACCACTCAGGAGCTATCGATTTCGGTCAACAATATTATCTCCAAGATTAATGAACTTAAAGATAAAGGCGCTGAGGTATTCAGGGAGGTTATCCCTAATATTTTAAGATCAGAAAGAGAGGCCACATGACAGACATTAAAAATACTATGAATAAGGCTAGTACCGAACTTATTGGGGAGGTAAAGAAAAATGAGCGGACGTCCAGGACTTTCGCCCAAGTGGCGTACCCATCAAGGGATCTGCCTCCCACCGGTCAGGCCCTTCTGCCCCTCCCTCCTTCGGAACCGGAGGGCATTCTCCTTGTCAAACCTAAGAACGACTCGGTAAACAACTTCGAATCAGATAAAAATTGTTTATGGACATACTTAAAGACAAAAACCCCGCCATGAGACTCGGAGCTATTAATCAGATCCATGGCGGATTTCTCAAGATTATCTCAGCCTCGACAGACGAATCCAGGGTCATTAAAGAACTTTTGTGATTTCGACTTTTTTATTCCTTCCCGGAGATCCCCCCAAATCATCATTTACAATGTAGATAAGAACGTCAAAGAAGAGGACCTCAAAAAAGTTCTTCTAGCCAAGAATGTGTTCCTGCCCAATGGCATTAATGTCCCTTAATTTAAGATCGATTTTAGCATTCCGGCCAGGAACAAAAACTGTGTAGGAAACCGCCTTAGGATTTCAGAATTTGTAAGCGTTAATCAATGCAAGAAATGCTTCTTGTTTGGGCACACGACCAAGCAATGTAAGGAAGAGACTGAGCAAAAGTGCGATGTGTGTGGGGAGAGTAAGAGAGACCGTCACAGATGTAAAAAGAGATAGTGCATTATATATTGTATTATTTCAAACACAAAATTTAGGACAACCTTTGGAACAAACCACAGCTGCCTTGATAGACATTGTAGGTCCTTTTTAAAACAAAAAGATTTAATTAGAAATAGGACTGACTATGAACTTTAATACCCTCTGTGGTCTTCATATTAATGTCAATCACTGCGAGGCGGCACACTCGGGGGTCTTCCAGGTCTCTAGGGATCTAAATCTCGACTTTATGGCAATTCAGGGCCCTTACCTCGTTAAAGGGGAACCCCCAAAAGCAAACTTCGGTTGCAAGACTTTCTTTTCACAATGTAAAAAGGCCATAACCTACATTTTAAATAAAATGAAGTTCAACACCACCAATACAGTGGTTGTTGAACTTCATTTTAATAATTTACTTTTTAATATTTTTGTTACTTCCCCCCACGATGATATTGACAATCTCATAAACGAATTGGGAGATTTTAACTTTTATAATAGTTTTAATTTACTGATTGGAGATTTTAATTGCAAATCAAGAAGCTGGGGCTATGATTCCGATAATTATAGAAGTAGAAGATTGACGGAGTTCATAGCCTCCAGCAATTTACACATCTGTAATATTACAGAATATGGCCCGACTTTCCAATCTTTAATTCATATTGGGTTCCCCGATTTAACTCTTATAAGTGCTCCAATTATGAATTATCTTAAAAACTGGGGGGTCCTTGACGTCGATACCCATAGCGACCATAAATATATTTAAAACTTGAAATGGAAAATGTTCCAGAGACTGACTTCTATTTTAAATCCAAATATGGGCAAAACAAATTTATGAAATACATCAAAAGGTACCTCGGTCCATTGAGGGAAATACTCAAGTGTACAAATAACAATATCTACCTAAATGACATTTTTAAAGAGCTGACCTCAATGGTGCAGAAGGGTGCATTTAAGACACTTAGGAAAAAATCCAAGAAATTTGCTAAAATTTCAGTTTCTGGAACAAAGTAAACAAGCTATTTAAAGTTTATTGTAAATATAGAGCCGAAAACTCGAATTTTGACATGATCCAGAGCTCGGGCAATACCTACCGAAGGGAACGTGCCATTTTTAAAAAAAACTTTAAGGCAAAAATTTAAGGTGTGATAGAAAACATCTAAACAAGCAATTTTCACCATAAAATGCATGGGCGGAGAGCAAGCGGTGAACCGCTAGACAGCGCTGTAATGGAAAGCATAAAGCGCGAGTTTTCTTACACATCGTCATTTCTACCGTGGATTTCAGAAGGCATGGCGACGTACAGTAATCAGGAAAAGGGGGACATGCATTTTATGTATGTTCTTGCGAATGGGAATGGTTTGGAAGCCGAAAGACCGTACAGGCAGCCTTTCCCGAGAAGATACGTGCCAGACCGAAAAATGTTCGAGCTATTGCATCGGTGCCTGTGTGAAATGGGATCCTTTGTCACCAGCATGCATGATACAGGGCGTATCAGGGCGTTGTAGAGGACATTCAGCAAAGAGTGGAAGATCGTCCGGATATTAGCATGCGAGAGGTTTCCAGTACCGTAAATGTGCCCCACTCGATTGTTTGGCGAGTACTACGGGACGAAGGATTACACCCTACTAGAAAGTGCAAGCCTTGATACCTGCTGATTATACTCTACGTGTCGAGTTTGCACGTTGGTTTCTGCAACAGCTAGCAGCGCAGCCTGATTTTAGTGCACATGTGTTATTCACGGATGAAAGCACCTTTACTCGTGAAGGCATTTCTAATACTCACAACCTTATGTGTAGCCGTCTAGCAATCCGTATGACACACGTCCTCATGCGTATCAAAAGCGTTTCAGCGTAAATGTTTGGGCTGGAATTGTGGGTGACCATTTGATCGACCCATATCTTCTGCCATTCCAACTGGAAGGCAGAACATACCTCACATTTTTACAGCAGGTATTGTCAGAGTTGCTTCAACCTGTTGCAGCCAACATACAATCATGTATGTGGTTCCAGCACGACGGAGCACCAACCCATTTCAGCTTGGATGTGCGGAGCGCTTTAGATGCTAAATTCCCAAGGCGATGGATTGGTCGGGGTGGGCCCACACATTGGCTGGCACGCTCA